CCCTACTTGGGAAGTTTTCTGCCATCACTTCTGTGTTTTTTTATGTCATCTGCATTCTCTTCTGTTTCTTCATTGACTCTAATCAGTCTTATGCTATTCTTCTTTGCATCATGTAGCAGCTGCTGGATTGATTTCTCGTGGTTCCTTACAGTTTTAAAGAAATTTTTTTTCCCAGTCACTAATTGCAATCTTATCTTCTACATCTGAAATTCTGTCCTCACATTGGTTCATTCTGCTGCATAGACTTTCAATGGAGTTTTTAATCTCCTGGAAATCTGTTTGTATCTGTTTTATGGATTCCATTTGAAAATGATATTTCTTTCCCTGCTATCCCAAGCAGTTAATGGCATTATCTCAACTCATTTTAAGTTTTCATTGAACAACTCTAGATTTTCCTCATTCAGACTTTTAAAACTTAAGCATTTCTCATTATGGACTGTGTAATTTGAAAAATCTGAGTATGTTATCTGTTTGTTCTTATTAAATTTCAAGTTATTTATGTTCATTCATTGTTCCAACTTGAAGATATTTTTTAGAATAGTCTTATAGGGCAAGTTGGCTCTTGTAATTTTGCATCATCTCTAAATTTTATAAGCATATTATCATTCCAGTTGTTGATAGAATGTTGAACTAAAAAGTCAAAAGTCAAGGATTAGGCCTTTCTAAATGACATTGGATTCCTACTGCCCATTTATCAATTAGTCTATTGTTTAGTAAACTTTAGTTATCCCCAAATCCACTCTATGTTTGTCTATTCATAAAAATATCATATTTTTTCAAATAACTTGCTAAAAGTCAAGATCATTTTCAACTATAAGACTAATATAGTCAAAATTATTTGTCTTTAGCAAATAAATCTACCTTGGACCTCATGGTTTCTACTCCTTTGCTAAGCATCCCAAACCAAAAATATATTATTGAATTTTGTAAGTAAAAAGGTTACAGTATACCCCAAGTCCATCTTGACTCTTTTCAACTCCAAACATGGAACTGCAACTTTCCAAGATCCCCTTATGAGAATTAGTGTTAGTGACTGGAACCTCATTGTTTAGATACATATTATCTTGTTTCAGA